CCACAGCGTCACACTAGAGATATTCCTAAACCCACATATGAACCAGAACTTTCTAGTAAAGTTAAGTATCCCATGTAATGACCCTGTCTTTTCTTCCTTTTTCGATTGTCCATTATTATTTTCATTTATTTATTTAGTTTATGATTATTAATTATTTAATCATTTGATTTAATATTTTTCTTGTGATCTAAGGGTTTTGTCTTACCCGGAGTAGGTTTCAGTGCTCGGAAACGATTTCTGACACCATGGGCATTACATTATTTAGTCTTTTATTGGCCGCATATGTCTTTATTTTATATGAAAAACATATCCGTATATTTATATATTTGTAGGGGTATGGATGCACAGTTTCTTCGGAAACATTTACGTTTTTTGGGGTGTTTTGTGTAATTATGTTTTAAAGATATTTTTCCTTAAGGACTATTGTACGGTTATTTTTGCTAGATATTTAGAGGAAGGACTAAGTTGCAATTAGGAAAAATAGTGACAAACGACACTCTCCCATTGGACCATGTGTTGACTTGCCATTGGTAACACTTGAAAGCCTAAGATGGTGACAAGTGTAAGGCCTAGATCAAACCTTTTAAGGAGGCCTAGATGGATGACAAGTAGAGGGGGTTGATGTGTGTGTGTGTGAGAGGTAGTGTTGGTGTGTGTGTGGTTGGTCAACAAATACTTAGGGTTAGTGGAAAAGTTAGGGATTTTGGTTGAAATTTCACTTAACCACCTTGCAGCCAAGCAGAACCTGATTTGCCATTTTCAGATTTCGAACCCCTTGCCATGGGAGTTTGATCTTGGGCCTTGAAGATCATATCTTCCTCTCTTCTTGATCTACAATTGCTTTTTCCAGTTTTTCATTTTGACCTTGTTTGCATGGGATTCCAGTGGAGTGAATCTCGAGTAGGCAGTTTGAGGAATCCTGAGAACCTTTTTTCCATTTTCAGTTTTTGAACCCCTTACCTTGGGAGTTTGATCTTAGACCTTGAAGATCATATCTTCCTATCTTCTTGATCTAGAACACCTTTTTCCATTTTTCCATTTTGACCTTGTTTGCATAGGATTCTAAAGGGGTGAATCTCGGGTTGTCAGTTTGGGGAATCCTGGAACCTGTTTTACCATTTCTGAAATTTGACCCCTTTGCTTGAGGAATTTGGTCTCCAATATTGAAGATCATAGCATCATCTCTTCTTGATCTAGAAGAGTGTTTCTCAGTTTTGCATTTTGAGTTTGTTTGCCTTGGATTCTAAAGGAACAATCCTCTAGTGAGGTAGAGGGTTGTAGTATGTTTATACTCTTGTAGTTTAATTTGTATTTGAGGTTTTATATATATTGAATGCATGCTTGCTAAACTATAGGATTGCATATAGATGTAAATCAAAGCATGTGGAATATATATATATATATATATATATATATATATATATATCTTGTTTTAAGTAAATTATTTCATTTACTAGATTTCTTGATTCTAGAGATTCTTGTAGTGATAATGAATTCTTGTAAAATATTGTTGATATTTACCTTGGGAGCATATTACTAGATTGATGAGGACTTAGTAATTATGGCTTTTTATGATGGTGAATTGATTTAGCATGATAGGAAGTATCATTGTTTTATGTGGCTTATATATATACATCTTGTATAAAATGTGTTATTCATTTAGTTGATTATTTGATTTTAGAGTATTTAATTTGTTGCGATACTGAACTCTTGTGGAATATATATTAATGTTTACCTTGGAAGCTTATTACTAGATTGTGGAATATTTAGTATTTGTGGCTTAAATGATGGTAACTTGATTTAGTTGGCATATAGTATATTGTATTGTGTAGCACATTCACATGTTGATACTTGCCATTTTGTATGCTATTTTAGAATTGAAATCCTAGGACATGGATTGTGTGGTTTCATCCTACTTGTGCATGGAATGTGGTTTCGTGCATTATTAATTGAGTATGAGTTATAAACTTGTTGATTTTGGAAAGCTTGTAGAGACATGTAGAATGATACGGCTAGGGCTTGGCTTTAGTACAGAAAGTACGAGTTCTCCCTACATCATTAGAGTGCGCAATAGGTAGTACCTTGTAGGTCGTAATTACCTAGAATAACTTGTATGGTCTTGAGACCACATGTTCTAGTTTTTCCACCTACTTGATTTCGCATTCAATTCCAAATTGTTAATCGTTGATTACTTGTAGCTTGTGATTTTATGCTTGAAATTTCAATATTGTTTAGTATACTTGAGCTTGTATACTTATATATTATGCATTTCATTTCAATATTGTTTACTATACTTAAGCTTGTATACTTATATAGTGTGTATTTCATTTCAATTTTTGCTTAGTATACTTGTTCATTGTATACTTGTGCATTATGTATTTCATTTCATTTGCTTGATATAGCTTGAGATGATCCCTTAGTTCACCTTGCAATGTAGACGTTAGGTGGAATGATCCCTTGTATTCGTCTATACTGAACTTGCAAGATATTTGAAACTTCAGGGTATACGCATGCTCTTCTTCCTACGAGTAACTTTGGTTGCTCACCCTCGTTGTTGGGATATATTTTTTTTTTCAGGTGAAGAAACCTTGTTTTGGAATGCATAACATCCCTAGGTTGGCTTGGTAGCATTGGAGTATTTTTATGTATTTGTCCAAGCATGCAAGTGTTAGCATGTCTTGGCTCTTTTTGATGTTGTAATAATTATTTAGATGCTTCTTCTTGATGTAATTAACATGTATATAATAAGGCCAAGGGCCACACACTTTTTGGTTCATGTTTATAACTTGAAATACCACGTTTTTGCCTTATAATGAAATTTTACGAACTTTAGAGGTTTGGTATGTGATTTTGAGTAAATGGAATGATATGAGGTCGTAGATCATGGTAGCGCGTCCACTTTTTCATTTTACGTTTGCATACATGCTCACATTTGCACATAAAATGCATGGTTTTAAATTTAGTCATGCAATGGGGGATTCAAAAGTCATTTTGAGTGACTTAATGCAGCATGTGTGGTTGTTGCTGCATTTTTTGCAGCAACCCAGGGTTCAGTTGGCTGAACTAACTCTATCGATCGACCGGTACCCTTGTTTTTCATTGAGTTAAAATTTTAAAGAGTTTGCTTCTCACGCAGGTCGTTTCGGCCGGCCGAACATTCGTTTCGGTTGGCCAAATGTATGAGTGTTGTCTTAAACCCTTTCACTTTTACTATTAACTCAGCATTACCACTAACTTATTTTTCTCTTTTATGTTTCAAAACTTTCTTTATTTCTTCGTCTCACCTATAATTATTGTATAATTAACATGTCAACCCAAGAGAACATCAAGTTAATAAACATGAATTACCACATCTATATCCTCGGTCAAGGAAACATTTAAGATCCCAATGGGGCGATTTTGTCTTTCATACAAATCATGTAGAAATCAACACATACACAAATTAGATCAAGATCACCTCCAGTTGCATAGTGCATTCATTTTCTCCAATTGGAATAAGTGGCTGAGAAAGTGCCACATCAATTAAAAAAAATTGGGTAACTAATTTTTCACCACCCTTGTATTCTAACTTTAAATATATATAAAAACTTTAAATGTTGTATTCTGACTTTAAATAGTATTTCCAAAATACGCACTGGTGGGAGAGAAGAGACTGATGTCTTCCTTTCTCTCTCTAAAACCTTCCATTAATAAACTCTCCAAGGACTCACAACAACTTTTGAACTTCAAAACTTCACTTCAAAACCCAAACACACTCCAAAACTGGCTTCCCAACAACAACCCCTGTAATTTCACTGAGTATTATGCAGAAATTGTTCATCTAAATCTCGATTTTGGGTAGGATTGTTTCTTCTTATCTGATTACTCGTCCCAATTAGTGTTTCTCTGATTAAAGTGATTGACTATCATGAAGTAGGATTATGTTGGGATATTAAGTACAACTTATACTAACTTAAATTACAAACTGTTGGGATGATATGTATTAAAGTCAATAACTATCATCTAGTAGGATTATGTTAGGATGTTACGTACAACTTATACTGACTTAAATTAAAAACAGTTGGGATGTTATGTACAAATAATTCTTTAGGATTTTATTGGGATGTTGCGTACAACTTATATTGGCTTAAATTACAAACTGCTTGGGATGTTATGCAATACACAAATAATTAAACAAAAAAACTATAACAGTCTAAATGTTGCTCAATTCCAATATTGATATATCTATGATTCGTTTTGGAAACAAATCAAAATATGTATAAAAACAAAGGAATTGAGAAATAGATTTGTGATTCGTTTTGGAAACAAATCAAAGATCCTTTTAAATTCTTTAGCAATGGCAGAGGGAGGAAAGTGAGAAGAAAGAGAACTCTCAGTGCAACAGTGGCAAAAAGGCAATGAAGATAAAGAGAGGAGAGAGAAAGTGACGATAGTCAAAGATAGAGAGAGGAAGAGAAGAGAGAAAGGTGGACGATGGTCAAAGATAGAGAGAGAAAGAAAGGAGAGAGAGAAATCCAGTTGTATATACTGTATCTATATACAAAAACTATATATATAAAAATAAAATATAAATTTTTTACCTTTCATAATTTTTACTATTCATTTACTCAATTGGAGGCATTGTTGCACTATGTAACTGGAGGTGATTCTTCACCTACACAAATCAACATATTTAATTAGAATTGGTGCAAACTATGTAAACATTGTCGCCCGGTGCTACTGAGGGATGGACCCAAAAAAATATTATTTGCCTGGCCGAATTACCAATATGAAAATAATTTTTAAAACTACACCCCAAAGAAGAAAAGTAATTGAGAGAGGAATTATTTTTGAAACATTTTAACATTAGTTTAAAAATATGTTGTTCTAAAAATAAGAATTCAATAATTCAAATTAAATTTCTTATATTGAATAATTCAAATTAAATTTTGGAGGGATCACATGTTTAAATCACATGTTTAAATCATGTGATTTTTTTTTTTTTGGGGGGGAGGGGGGAAGGTTCATGATGTGTTTCTTGTTAGTCCTCACATAGTTCCGCCCCCAGGACAACCACACTTTTATTTTATTTCACTTCATTCGTACCTTTGTCTATTTGTTGGAGGGAAGGCTTTGTCTTCTAGTAGAATCAGTCGGAAGAATAATTCACCAGGAATATTCATCATAATTAAAAGAAAGTATAAAGTAGTATTTCAGTGACCCATATATAGCTATTAACTTAATTGTGACAGTACTATCTAGAGACAGATAGATATGGAAATTACAGTGGGGTTGGCATTGGTACTAGGAGTTGTGCCACTAATAGGGTGGTGGTTGTGGTGGTGGAATGACCTCTGGTATGGCCTCCCAGTTAAACTCCGGTGTTTCCGTAGCGGCACCAAGCTCCCTCCCGGTCACATGGGCCTTCCTTTCTTTGGAGAGATGCTTACCTTCCTTTGGTACTTCAAACTTCGTCGTCGTCCTGACGAGTACATTAATTCTAAGAGATCCAAGTAAGATTTCTTCAAAGTTTTACCTACTCTTCCTAGAGTTAGTATATATATATATATCAGTTTTTTGAGCATAATTTATTCTATTTTTACAAATGTTAAGTTCGGAAAAATTTAGTTCAAAACCATTATCATTTGTTTAAATTAATTAAAAAAATTTTGATTCGAAATCTAAAACGCTTTCAATACTCCCAAACACAATATTAGTGAATTTTGCATAGTTTATCTAAGAACTGTAATTAAAAGAAAGTCGGTACTTACACGTGGTACCTCCACTCGTTAAGAAAATTCTTATTATAGCAAATTGAGAGTTTTCATGTCTGTAATTTGGATGGAGGCAACTACATATACAATACCCTATTGTAGACTTTCTCCCATAACTCTGTAAGTATAATTGAATCAAAGAAGCATTAATAGTTGACTTGTACTTGCAAATCCATTGCCACGGTATGCTAATTGATAGAGGTGTTAATTAATATCTGAGATCTTAACTACATATACAATACCCTATTGTAGACTTTCTCCCATAACTCTGTAAGTATAATTGAATCAAAGAAGCATTAATAGTTGTTGACTTGTACTTGCAAATGCATTGCCACGGTAGGCTAATTGATAGAGGTGTTAATTAATATCTGAGATCTTATATTGATATTTTTCATAACAAATTCAAGGCTTGTGTCAAGCCTTTTTCTAGTCACACTGCATCAACTATATGAACTTCACATATGAACACTTAATAACTCTTGCAATTTGATGAACGGTATGATCAGCTATGGTGATGGAGTAGGACTGTACAGAACCCACCTCTTTGGATCACCGGGAATCATAACATGCTCCCCTTCATTCATCAAATTGGTCCTCCAATCGCCCGTCGACTTCATCGTTGAATGGCCGACTGTGGATATTCTAGGTACCAACTCTCTCACAGCACTTAAGGGAAGCACACACACCAGGGTCAGAGGTTTTGTCACAAGAGCCATTAACCACCCGGATCCTCTCCGTTGGATCGCTCAGATGATGCAACCCGGGGTTGTTGCCGCCCTCCAGTCATGGGCACAGAAGGGTAGAATCATAGCAATTGATGAAACCAAGAAGGTAGTATTTAATCCGACCATCTGAAGTGCCGTATTTAATAAAGAGGGTAAATTATAGTCACCTCTCTTAAGGTTCCGTAAATATACACTGGCCTCTTAGGTCAAATTGGTGGGGTTTTTAATTACGTCTGCCTCTATATATGTTGTATTTTATTGCAGTAAACATGTCTTTCAATGAAAGAATTAGAATTTGAAAGAAAAAAATTGCCACATCAGTATTTTTAGTTGTTAACGTTAAGGAAGGAAAAATATGTATTATTTACATACAAATTTAAAGGGAGGTAAGTGTAATTTGAGACACAAGAGAAAAGGTAAAGTCAATGCAATTTACCCTAATAAATAAACTAAATAGGTTGTGAATAATTAATTTGAAAATAAAAAAATTGTCATGAGAATAAATTATTGGTTTTGGTAGGTCAAATTTTGTTGAATTATATAAGCTCTCACCTGCTAGCATCCCTCTTATTATAATCTTAATGATAGTTGATTCTGAAATGACATGACGTGATCAAATGACAGGTGATATTTGAGAATATCGGCAAGTTATTTGCAAGCTTGGAGCCTGGACCTGTTCTTACTCATCTTGATGAGTTGTTTGAGGATATGGTTAAAGGACTTAGAGCTTATCCTATCAACTTCCCTGGAACTACATTTCACCATGCCCTCCAGGTTAATCACACTGCTCAAAAGTATATTTGTGTCCTGGTTATTCAAAATTACTTATGTTTTGCAGTTTCTTTTACTGTCGATTATTATTTGCATTTTGGAGATATTTGACTTATGATGTAGTTATACTAAAGATTCACCTAAGAAGCATAAAACACTTCTACGAATATTTTGTATTGGATACGGATGCTTCGAGCACACTCTAAAGATGTCTGATTCATCATTTATGCCTCCGTGATTCAAAATTGATTTTTTTTAGTGAACGATCTAGAAATTAATATGACCGGGGGGTTAGTGAAGGAAATTTTAAAATTTTATGTGTATAAATGTAAAAAAATATAAATTTAAGAGTATAAAATGTAATAATAAAAGTAGGAACATATATAATTGTAATACAAAAGTACTACGGGGGAGAACTAATAGCAGTGTTTATACTTCATGATTTATGACAATTATAATATCCATGGTACATGTTAGACAATTCATATTATGCAATTAGATGATTAACCAAAGTTCAAAAGTTTTCTTGTATAATACTGTGTAGATGTTTATAAGTAAATTTTATATTCTAAAATTCTAATATAATAAATGCACACTTAGTCCTTCTTATTCAAAGGTCAAATTGCTCAGCCATATCAAGCCTAACTTTTCAAAGAGAAATTCTAGGTTCAAACCTCGGCAGAGGTATTTCGATTGAAATATTAAGCCAACAAAATCACAGTCATGACTAATGGGATGCTGTCAGGTAGGACCCATGTGAGTCCCACTTAATTGAAATTTTGGGTCTAGCAATCAATTTATTAATTCGAATGCATGAGAGTTGACACATTCTCAAGTTCAATAAGGTTTTATTATATTATTACGAAACAAATAGTAATCTTATACCATACAGATGGTAGATGGTGTGACACAAACTCTGTGTTAATAATTTGACAGTGCCGGAAGAAAGCCATCGCAATTTTCAGGAATGAAATGGAGAAGAAGAAGAAGAACCGAGATAGCGCCAATACAACGAATGATCTAATGGATGGGCTGATGCAAATAAAGGATGAAGAAGGGAGGCAATTAAGTGACATGGAGGTGTTGGACAACATTGTTAGCCTTGTTGTTGCAGGCTACGAATCCACTTCCCATTCAATAATTTGGGCTATTCATTATCTTGCTAAGTACCCTGAAGTTCTCCAAAAGCTTAGGGTATGACTAAGAACACATGGTCACATATTGAAGTAATATTCTTCTTAAATCTCTTGACCTTCTGATCAATTGAACTGCAGGAGGAGAATATACAGTTAAGCAAGAACAAGAATGGGGAGTTCATCACGAGTGACGATATTGCAAAAATGAAATATACAAACAAGGTATGTATTCATTTATCTGCAATGTGTTATGATTCTTGTTAACCATAATATTCTGAAGAGTGGAATAGGTGCGTTTGGGTATTAGGAAAACATACATATATTTTTTCAGAATGAGAGAAGTGAACTAGTCTTATTACCTTTTTCATCGCGATCCTGCAGACTTAGAGCAATTTAAATTTACACCATTTTTCTTGGATATAGGTTGTGGAAGAAACGATAAGACTGGCGAATATTTCACCAATTATGTTTCGAAAAGCTAACAAGGATGTCGAGTACAAAGGTAGAACCAAGTTGTGTTTTAAGGGTTCATCATCTTTACCAAAATGTCCCTTGTTGTATAATGATTTCAGGCTTTTTGATGTGCAAAGAAAATCTTGATCAACAAATGCACAACTTTGTTTTAATTGCTTATGATACAATTTTGAGATGTCCCACAGGTTATAAAATTCCTAAAGGTTGGAAAGTGTATCTTTGGGTTAGATACCTCCACACAAATCCAGAAAACTTTGAAGATCCAATGTGCTTTAACCCGGATAGATGGAATGTAAGTTATGAAGATACATAGCCCATTTGATTCGGTTTTTCTAACCATAATTTTTTGATTTCATGTGGTCAGTTTTTCTGAAAACTAAGTTGTATAGTTCTCTACAAAATATATATATATACTTGATAACTATTTTTTGGAAATTGAACGAAATTGGCTTATAATGATTATCACTTTTGATATCTGATCTAACGTCTAGTAATTTTTCAGGAACCCCCAAAGCCAGGAACATATCAAGTATTTGGCGGGGGAGTAAGAATTTGCGCCGGAAATATGTTTGCTCGCTTACAAATTGCCGTTTTTCTTCATCATTTGGCCATAGGATACAAGTAAGAAACCTTGTTTTATTTATATATATATGACTACTCCATTATTGTTGTAGGTTTGAGGTAATGAAAAAATAATAATTTCTCTGGTTTTGATTGAATATCAGGTGGGAACTCGTCAATCCGAAAGCAGAGACGAGTTATCTTCCACATCCAAAACCAGTTGATGGGGTTGAAATTGTCTTTGGCAAAATCTAAGAAGCACATTATGTACCAATGTGATGTTTTTTTTTTTCCTTCCATTTACTATCAAGTTATTGTTATCAGGGCAGAGCTTCATATGAGCCTTGGAATCATGCCCCTACAAAATATTTCGAAGCCTTCAGTTTTGTTTAAAGAAATCAAGTCGTTGGCCCCCCAAGATGGAATGGGACTTCTATATATTATATTCAAAAACATTGTACTATATATATATAAAGATATATATATATATATATCGATCTCTGTTACCTCTAATTAATTGATTTCATCGGTGTCATGTCCCAAATCCCAAAAACCCGATAAATTGTGAAAGCGAAAGGGAACCAGACCCGACACGGAGTTCCCATGCGGAAGTAACACCACATTAGTCCCCATGACTAATGTGGCCTTGGATGGTGCGTTATTATACCACTGTGTCCTCACTCTAACCAATAAGTGTAAGTTGAACGCAGTAGAATGTTTAGAAAGTTTTAATTATTTTTAAAATATATCAGTGTATATTTTAACTTTTTTTATTTTAATAATTAAATAATTAATCACATGCAGATAAACTAAAATAAAATAAAAGTTAGAGATGACATTAGGATTTTTAGCGAGAAAACCCCCAGTTGATAAATATGTCAACTATTTGTGTGGAAAAAATCTCGTGAACTGTGTAGTTCAAAGTAAACCAATCCACTATACTTGAAACAAAGTACACTGAACTTTGACTCTGACTCACACTCTATCATTCTACCAAACACCAATTGCTGACAATCCTCTAACTTTGCGACTCCTCGTCCAATAGCAACTTGACCTCAGGTTTACGCTTGATATTTGTAAAAGAGTAACAGATAAATTAGACAACACTCCTCGAATGCTCCAACCCTTATTAAAGTGTGATCTCTTTTACTTCTATTCTTCAATCGTCTGAATTCGATGTAAAAGTAGATCTGTTTTTTCTGATCAATGTATATGCAACTGTATGATTACGATCAGGATTTAAATACCACAACTCTAAACTCACTATGTGTTTATGTGTATGTGTTCTAGAAAGACAAATAGAAAATTCTCTAAGAATTTCTGAACCACAAATCTTTCTAATGCTTTTAAGAATAATAACTTGATATTGCAAAAGCTGTAAATAAATGTAACGACCCGAACCCGAAGGTATAAATCACTAACCGGGTCCGTACCCAAACCCGAGGTTAACTAAAAACGTTACCGTTCTTTCCTATGACAATACATAATATACATGTCATCCTAGGATTTATAAATAATAATAATAATAATAATAATAATAATAATAATAAAATGAGATGATAATTACAAAATAGGTCAAATAGTCCACTAACCCATCAAAACCTGTGGACGAACATCGTCCGTCACTTCCTTCCCGTGAAAAAAATGTTAAAATGATGGGGTGAGCATAAAGCTCAGTAGGAAGCGTTTAAGACACACCTCTTACGACCCCGTGAATCCATACAATGAATAGGATACAAGAGAACGGGATCATATTATATCAGGGATGTAAACCATAACCAGAACATCTAATATAAATACAAATGTCATCCAAGTCACAAATACACCATGTATGCCGATGAAGTGAAATGCCATGCTCATGTTGCTCCCCATTTTTGAAACATTTCCATTTTAACTTCCAAATCGTTTGTATAATCCGACCCAAGGCACCTCCATGGCATCACGAGAGAAGGATTGGTTAACTATCCATGACCACAAGGCACCTCCAAGGCGTCGCATCCGGCCTAGTTAGCTCAATCATACTCCCCTCTAGACTACAATAACACTACAGAGCACTAAGCGCCTCCTAGGCGTTCGGTTTTTGCAAACACTTTTTAAAAACATTTTTTTTTTTTTCAAAATCATTTCATTTGCTTTCAAAACATTTTTTTTCTCCATTTTCCTTTCCAAATGGGTGCATGAATGCTTCATGCTCCTAATCATGAATTCAACCATAGAATTTCACACATGCCTTGCAATTTAAATCTCTAAAATAGGTAATTCATATTTCCCTTCAACATTGTTTTAGCATACAAAGCATAATTCATTTCACATAAGCATGATATTACACAATTCCATACAATTCATCTATATCTCATTTACATACTTTTGAGAAAAATTAAATTAAGAAACTGTCAATTAATAATTTTGACAGCATAGTACTTGACTTTCAAGTATTCAAGTGCATATAATCAAAATCAATAACCAACACAAGTAATTTCTATCATTTTCAACATAATATAGACCTTGTCATGCTCATCATACATAAAATGTCCATAACCACAAACAATACTCATAATTTAGTAAACAACTTAACAACTTTTATGAGAAAACTCACAAAAGTCAAAGAAAATTGTGAATGAGAAACCCCTACCTCAAAAAGAAGCAAAATCCCCAAAAATTGCCCAATCTAAACCCTAATTTCGAAATTCCAAGGTGCACCAAACAGGGCTTGGCTCCGATCAAGTCAAAGATCTTGACGAGCTCTTTAATTTGCCGCAAACGGAACTAAAAATCTCTCAAAGATGAGAGAGGAATCAAGATTCAAAGCTTGAAGTAAAAGGAAAAGAAAAAGGAAAATGAAATTGGGGGAGAGAGTATGACCACTGAGAAAGAGAGAAAAGAAGGAAGAAATGTGGCCAAAAGTGGCCTTTGGCCTCTTTTCTTTAAAAAAAATCTTTGTGGGTCCTACCACTTTTAATAAAATTTTCTTTTTTTCCTTTATATTCTTTACCACACACTTAATTATATATATATATATATATATATATATATATATATATATATATATATATATATAAATGAGTCATAACATTATATTCCCCCAACTTTAACAGATTTCATCCCCAAAATCTACCTTCCTTAAAAAAGAAGGCCCCACAACCACATACCTTTCCAAAAAATACCTCATCAAATTACAAGACTTAGAGTTCAACAACCATATTGCCTTTGGCACCAGATGCCAATAGGCAATCACACACCACCGCCACTAAAATCCAATGCTCACCACCCTATGAGGGTACTCATCACTCACAATATCATAACACAAAACCCATTGGATTCTACACCTGACTCAAAACGGACATCGGTCCACTCTGCACTGCCACACATTGCATTCGAAGTCTGAAAGAAGAACGGTCACAAGACCCCTGAACATGACAACATCCGATCACAACTGCTCCCTAAAAGGATATACAAAACCCCAAACAAAAAACCCCGCCCATCTCACAATCAAGCTCAACTCAAATCTACACGTCCCTGTCAAACCAATACTCGACATCTAACATACAGCTACACCATTATATATCAGTACAAGCAACCACCAACCGCACCATTCAGCAATCATTATACTTAACAACCACAAGATGATTAAATAATGAATTTCCTAACGACTACATAATCATGAGTCACCAAAACAATAAAACAGATCATCTTGTACCCAAGCCACAAATCCTCAAAACAAGATCTTTAATAGTTAATGATCGAATCGCAAACCCTATATCAGACACTTGGTACTACCTAACCTACTTCGTCACCCAAAACAAATCATCCGAATCCACACTGTCACACCGACACAATGCACAATACTGTACTCTCACTATCCCTGAAAAATTGAAACAATCATTGACCTTTGACCCGATATCGTGCTAAGAGGGACTGATTCAGGAGAAATAGTTGGCTAAGCCATTTTCATCATCGATCTGGTCTCAAAACAGATGTCGTTCCTATTCTCAGGTCCAAACCTCAAACACACCCTCACACAGCCTACAAGACAACCATGAGATTCACTCGATATCAATCCATCGTTCTACGTAACCACGACGGCTAAACAGTCACATACTTACTCTAAAAATCATAATCATGCTTTAATCATACAACCCAAACAAGCTAGTAATAACACAACACCAAACGTCACAATCATCAACCAGCACGAGAGATCTCTAATTTCTTCATAACACCCATACTAGGTAAACAACCCCATAACATCATTCGACTCAATTCTTACCTCTTCAAAACACACAATACAACCGTCTCATGCCTGAAACCTCAAAACCAAAGTCAATCATCCTTATTATTTCTCAATAGAATCACACATCCACTTTCTCTAATTACAAAACTCTGAGACAACATCGACACTTGTCCTCAAGGCACTGCTCAAATCAAACGCCTATATAAACATCCGAATGCATGACTCACATCACTTCACCTAATCATCCTCAAACTCACAGTTCACGATACATTCCCTAGCCATTACCGTTAGTACAAGACACTAGAAACACATAATCCCTATTTGGTAACTTATGCCTCACACACCACTAGTTAAGACCACTCTTAGAACAAACACTACTAAAACCAAAGACTTTATCTCCCCCCATGGGAGTGAGTCGACCAATACGACCAAACCTTTACCGGTGAACTCAACCACATAACAAATCACACAGAGGTTCGTCCACCAACGGACGTGCATAACTTCTAAATAGAAAACAAGACTAACGACAAACGACATCCTTGCCAGGACTAGAACAAATGGAAAGGGTAACAAACCCCATTCTCACAAGAGACTGACCTGAATACACCCAACACCTTGTCACATGCTACACACCAACCGTCCAACCACGGACACCCAATCTCACCTGAGATGAACTAAACTCCTTACACACAGAGAGAAGAACCAAATGGATACCCGTACGGAACTATCAACTCAATTCTAGGCGACCTTGCATTAACAGACTGTCATATATTATCAACACAGAAACCTCACATACGATACCCCACAACGCCCATGATAACCAAAACCAATCAGATCCCTACCACCCATTTGCCGAGCACTAAGATACAACTTATAACACAACTATCAGTCAAGAGCATCAATGCACACAACATACCAACACTAGAAACAATCACAACCCATCGGACACTGTATCCCGTCATTCCCAAATTACAACCCTATGCTATAAAATGACATTTTACCACCCATTCTATCACTACCTTCTCAGATGATACTGCCTCGATCACCGTGCACACCCGACTCAT